GTCCAATTTTCGTATTTTAAATGCCGTTATTGTCTTTTATCTACGATGGTCTCAATTTGTTGCCCACTAATGACGGCCATTCCTTGTATATCCATCAATAAAAATTACTTTTCACATATATTTACATTTGAACTAATGTTTTAACCTTCGTTGATACTATCATAAATTTTAGTCCGTCTTCCTGTGCGTTGATCGTCTTTCCTGGTAGACTTGTATTTAAAACTGTCATTTTCATTACATAATTTCGGTAGATTATTTTCGTTCCACTGTAGATATGAAGGGATATATTTTATTAAATTTTTGCCCCCAAACAAGAGATCACTCTGCCTTAATGTGTACTAAGCATCCTTGAGATGAAACTCACAATTACTGCGTTAACGTTCAGATATGTCCAAACAATCAAATGTACAAATCTGTTTTTGTTTTTAATTTTTCAGATAAATGATTACGTTTTTTTTTGCTAAGCGTATTAATTCTATGTGTCTTGAAGAGGAATGTCCTTCTTCCGGTCTGTCAGATGTGCGCTGCAGTATCAAAAAACATATATTTATTAATAGCAGAAGCCACATGAGTCAAAGATTTCGACAACAGCAGCAGCTAAAATTAATTGTGCATGCAACCCAAAAAGAAAATAATGACGTTATCAAGATTTGAATTTCCATAAAACAATAAGCAAAATGCTAGCAATGAGCGATAAGACGTTTTTGACTCGATGAATGACATTTCCCAAAAATAAGTCGTTAAAGAAAAGGCTTACGGCCTCAACTAGTTGAATCAGCAAAGTTAAGCAATGTCGAACATGGGTAACTGCTTGGGTTTACCAGGTTCTCTAAGTTTGGTTGTGCGGAAGGTCTAATAGATGATGGCTTGGTCTTGGAACTCCGAGAACGGAATTCCAATTCCAATTGTGTTCGTCATATTCACTTAAGCGCAAATACCTTTGTGAAGTTAAGAATCAACCTCTTCTCCCCAAATTATGGGTTAAATAATATGGTATGTTATATATTACAAGCGCTCCCTCCAAAGAAAAGATTGTTATAATATAAAAATATGTTCATGCTTTAAATAAATAACCACAGTCTGTTTAGCAGACGTAGAATCAATCTCTTAAGAAAAAGGTTTTATAATTTGCAAACGACAAAAATTTTAGCTGTTCGGTTAACGAGTACTGAATATTTTTTTATAAGCAAATGAGTAATCTCACCATTACGAGTACACGAACCAATGATTTTATTATGTATGAGACGATTTCTTGAGAAATACGTTTACATGTTCTTCGCCGACAAAATGAGAATTTTCTATTTATTTTTTCATTTTTTTTCTTAACTTTGGTTTCTTTCATGTCTTCCTCTAACGTTTGCAATATTCGTAATATGTTCTCTCTGTTGGCATCAGCAACACCAATGTTTTTGGCTGGTTCATTTTCTCTACTTGTATATTATATTTTCAATATACATAGGAATATTTTGCGGCATCTTTAAAGTTAGAGTTATTTTATGTTTTTCTCTTACAAATAATTTTTAATTATTTTCCTGTGATCTCTGTTGAACTTGTTCAGTAATTTCAGAAGTTGTCTTTAAAAAAAGATTTCGAGGATTTATATTACTTCCCTTTGAGTATCTTTATAAACATGGGTTTAAAAAAATAACACGAATGACAATATTATCGTAAATAATATTATAATATCTGTATTACTGTAAAGTATTCTCCAATCTCGATAAGACAGCAAATAATATTGGTATATCTGCACATTTGTAAATAATTCTATAATATCTATATTTTCATAAATAATTTTACAATATCGATACTACCGTAAAGATATTTACAATGTCAATAACATCGTAAATAATTTTAAAATATCAGTTTTATCGTAAATAATTTACACAATATCTATATTATCGTAAATATTTTTACAATATCGATAATATGGCAAATTATTTTACAACATATGTTTTATCTCAAATAATTTACAACATCTAATTTTACAATATAGATATCATTTTAAATAGTTTTACGTAGATGCCTCCATGAGATCGCTATAAAGAGGATAGCATGTGGAAAAAGACGCCAAATTAGACGAAAACAAAATGTTATCGTCTAAATGTTCATATTGTTATTAAGAGGAACGATCAAAGTCAATTTAAATATTTAAAAAAATTTTTCGATCTTTTTAGATCATTCTAAATTTTGATTAAAAAAAAGAACTTTGTTTCTCTTTGTATCACCGGAAGTAGTAAAATAACATAGACAATTTTTAGCACGTTTTTTTTTTTTATATGACACACATTAATTTGGAAAATCTTGCAAAAATAAAAATAATTGTCGGATGTTAATGAAACTTTCAGACTATTCACAAATGAACAAAATTATTATAAATATGTTTTCTTTTGTTTTATTTTTTTTATTAAAGTAAGGGCAGAATTTTTTTACATATTTATTACGCCCCCTTAATAATTCTATGATTACAATAGTTAAAACCTAAAGGAGGAATTCAAATCATGTTTTTTGGGGGGGTTTAGTTGGACACCCCTAGGTGAAAATCAGCTCTGAATTGTAGCATACAAATTTCAATAAAACAAATATATTATTTAATTTCAAATGCTTTCAGTTGTTTTCATGAATATGCGCAATATTTTCTGAAAGCCAAAAATGTTTTCGATGAAAAATTAATTTTTAATACAATTATCGGTTATTTCTTAATCATAATAGGTTTTTATATTTAAGTAATTAAAATATTATAAAATTAGTTAAAAGCCGCATCGGGTTTCCTAAGTGTCCTGATAAGATTGATCTTTCTTTAGCGCGTTGTAAATTGTATCATTTGGCTAATCAAAATATCCGCAGTAATTAAAAAACGTAATTTTGTGTTTATAATCGGGCTGTAATTATAAAGTACGGAAGACAGACAGAAGACAATTAAGTTGTGTTATTTGAGTTAAGCATAGTTCTCCGCTGTTAAGGCCTTTACTTTTGCAAAACATGTGCGGAGAAGTTAATTTGATTTTTCAATTTCAAATGAGAAGGATACCTACAAGTATCAGTATCATCTTATGAAATTTACATGATCTTATTTTTATATCAATCTCAGTTATGACATTTAATAATATAAATGAAATATCAAAATTTAAAATATAAATGAAATATCAAAATTTAATAATATAAATGAAATATCAAAATTAATAATAAAACGAATGGAAATACAAATAACACAGTAAAATGTATTAAATATACATGAAATTATAGAATTTTATATACATTTCTGATAAAATTCCATAAAAAAGTTACCTATAAATTAATTAGATACCTTTCATATGAAATATTAAATTTAATCTCAATCTTAAATTCTTATTTTAATTTCTTTATAATTTATTTGCCATAAAGCATCATAAACGTAAAGGTGAAAGCTAAGTACAAAAGAAATAGAGCGCTGAAAGTTTTCCTTAAACATAACGAGGTAAATAATTTGTTCACTTAAATGTAAATTATTTCATTTTTCTCCTTCCGTAGAACAAATTATTCTCACGGAATCCGACAATATATCATTCATCACCTGTCAAGAGACGCGAAAGTTTATGACCTGCTTTGTTTTATTTTCAAATTACATCTTTTTGGTACAAAAGCTAAGTTAAGCTTGGTTCAAAATATTTTAAATAAACATTATAATTTCTGATTTTCTTAAAATAAACTTTGAAATAATGTTATTTTAAAGAAGTTCAAAGTCAGATTTCCATTTTTTTTATAATATGGAAAAAAATGTACAATTTTGCTGACTCCAAAAAATACCCCAAAATATTTTGATCTTTCTTCTTAATAAACATTTAGACGATAAAATTTTGTTTTCGTCAAGTTTGGCGTCTTTTTCATCATGCTATGCTATTTTTTAGCGATCTCGTGGAGGTACCTAGTTTTACGTTATCGATATCATTATAAATATTTTAGCACCGTATGTTATCACAAATAATTCTACAATATCAATATTATCGGAACATTAAAGTATCTATATTACCTTTATTAATTTTACAGTATAGATACTACCATAAATAAATTTACAATATCGATATTATCGTCAGAAAATTACAATATAGTTTGTATCATAATTAATACAAAATTATCTATATTATCGTTAACTATTTTACAATATCTCCACTACTGTAAAAAACATTATGTCATCTATCATACTGATACTATCGTAAATAATATTAAAATATCTGTATTATCGTAAATAAATTTGACAATATCGTTACCATCGTAATGGATTATACAATATAATGAGCAATATAATTATTTTCCACCGAACAGATATTTGAAATATTTCATCCATAATAATACAAATATTTCATTCGTAATATACAAAGTATGCCCCAAATTTGTTGTTTGTTATTAAAACATTCGACTGCATATCATGACGATCGTTATGTTGCTAGATATTGTTTGCTGGATATAAGAAAATCACACAGATTAAAGAATCTCTGCTATAATACCCGTTAACATTTTCATGATAAAGCTTTAAATTAATTAAAATTTGTCTATGAAGTAATTAAAATTTTATTCAATTTAGATTTATAATATACCATAATAAATGTCCATCATTTCATTTATATTTTATTTAATGTATTAAACTCAGTTTTATAGCATTTGCAAAAAGTATAATTTAAGAAATGAAGTAATGAATTTACTTTGAGATAAATTTTTATATAGCGAACTAAACAGTCTAAGTAAGAGTTTAATCGATGTAAGTGCTGCATAGTTTGTGGCCTATATGATTATCAAATTTTAGTATTTTAAATGATTATAAATTAAGAAAGCTACAATTTGGCAAAATATTAATCTGTGTAATTTTTGGCATGTTTTTTTTAAAAAGGTAATTGCGATACGGTAGAACCGATTGCATAAACTTAAGTACATTGCGAAATTATCCGTTATTCTTCTATTAATATTATTATTATTATTATCTACCCAGAGCGCAAGGGATCGTGGTTCTTTACAATGCACTATACCTTATGGCACTTAACAGTGTTTCTTCTATTAACAAGTCTCAGGCCACTGTTTCGTCATATTCTCACAACCGTGCTTCAACACGCTGGCTGGTGTATTTCCCTGATTTTATGAGCATTAAGTTTTCCAAGTCCAAATTAATCATTATAACTTTCAGTAGTTTAAGCTGTCTTTTTTCTTATTATGAGCGTACTTTGCCTTACATACACTAATACTACTACTACTACTACTGCTGCTGCTAATAATAATATGCATGTATTCCTCAGTGTTTGGTGCAACTCAAGATTTCAAGCATGTCGCATTCGCAAGGTGAAAATTTAAAAATTACCGTTGAATATATCCATTTTTCATTATCCATCACATATTGTTAAATTGTGTAGTACTTCGTTTACACCCGAGAAAAAAAATCAATAGCTTGTGAAATATATTAAGGTAATACAAAAGAAAAATAGTTGTTTTTATTTACTTTAATTTAGAATATATGTACTTGTATACAAAAACAAGCGTACGTGCACACACACACATATTTATATAGATTTTATACCTATTTGAATATATTAAGCGCATGTACATATACACACACACACACACACATATATATATATATATATATATATATATATATATATATGTATGTATATATATATATATATATATGTATATATATATATATATATATATATATATATATATATATATATATATATATATATATATATATATATATATATATATATATATAATGTTCATTGAAAATACTTTTTTACGACAGAAAATATATTGTGTTTATGATACTTTTTTTAATCAGATTTTCTTGTGCCGGATTATAATTCCATCCAAAGCGCTATATGAAAACTCATGATGCAGGAACATTAAAAAAAACGAAAGATTTTCTCTAAGACAGCTCCTGGGGAATAACACAAAACACAACGCAAAACAGATGGTAAACAAAGATTACAAATTTGATAATCTGTCCGTATTAAATCAAAACAATCTAGAAATAACAAACGTTTCATTTTGAAATAAGCATTTTAAAGTCTCTGAAATATAACCACACCACCTACCTTTTTTGCTGCGGCTTCAAAATTCAAACAAATTGCACTTACAAAGACAGACAAAAAAAAATATAAGTTATTATCATAAAAAAATGGTTTGATTATTATCCACGAAAATGATTTTGAATTTTGTCATGAAGAAACTGAAAATCGTTCTAATGCGTGGCACGATGAAGATTTCAAAAACAGAATTTATGCACACGAACACAGAAATCTATCTATCTATCTATCTGCCTATCTCTCTCTCTCTCTCTCTCTCTCTCTCTCTCTCTATCTATCTATCTATCTATCTATCTATCTATCTATATATATATATATATATATATATATAGGGAAGAGGCCATAGATGTCCCAACGAGGGAAAAATATATATTTTAAAAAGGAGAGAAAAACCGCAAGCGTTTTAATCGTAATTTTTTTCTAAATATATATTATACTTTATATTCCATAACTTTGCAACACATGTTTCGTTAGACAAAGAGTAAATATTTCCACATACTATTGTTTTTCGATTTTAAACATTCTAGTTTTGTGGGTGGTACAAAAATGTCTTACTTGGAGTGTCCCTGATAAATTTCTCCTGCTTGAAGGGTAATAAAACAAACAAGATTTCTTCGCGAAGGGTTGAAGAAAGATATATGTATTCTCATCTTTTAATGACACCTGTATGTTCTTAGATGTATTTCTATTTTTGTGATCTGTGTGTTGTTTTTAGTGTGCATATGTATATGTGTATATAACCTCTCTATATACTCTTAGATATACTGTCAAGGAATTAACGGTTTCTCTCTTCTTTTTAATATCTATCTATCTATCTATCTATCTATCTATCTATCTATCTATCTATCTCA